TTTTTTTTTTTTTGGTGTGTGTGGAGGGATTTCAAGACAGGGTTTCACTGTGTAGCTTTGTGCCTCTCCTGGAACTCACTTCACAGACCAGGCTAGCCTCGAACTCACAGAGATCCACCTGCCTCTGCCTCCTGAGTGCTGGGATTAAAGGTGTGCGCCACCACTGCCCGGCTCCTGTGTGTCCTTTCTATCCAAATTATTGTCTTCTTTATGGGCAATTCTGCTCAGCTAGTCCCTGGTTCCACCCCTTATTCCAAGGTTTAACTTTATTGGCAAGTCTCAGGAGTGTCAGAATGTAATCAAAACACCCCACATTTCCCCCTTTTGTCTAAATAAAAAGGGAAGATTTTAATTCTAACATAGTAAAACTATGTACAGTAAGACCATTAATCATGTAAGAATTACATTTACAATGTCTAGTCCATATGTATTTGGCAAATTTGGAGTAAGTACTGTACTATATATTCTATTTTAGTGAGTCCAAATTTTTATACTTAACCAACTTTCTATCATAACTACTATTACCATCCTAAATATATCTTTTTAAACCTAAAAATATTTCCTTAGATAAACAACTTAAACTTTTCTGTCTCTCAACCTAATGCACTCTACCCCCATTTTGTGAATTTTTTCTTCTGAATTTGGTAACAAGGAGAACTGTAACTATAACTATGTAGTCTTCAACCCCATTAAAGATCTGAGAAGGATATAATATTACCTGAGTAAATAGGAAGTTCAGAGCAAGCAACTTTCAAAACTACATAAGTGACAGAAATAGCTGGCTGTCTAGACAGTTACCTAAGATTCCTATGCAATGTTGGGGCATCCATCTTTAGCCTACAGGCCTAGAATATATGGCAGACTTTTCTGTGAAGCAGGAATTTTGAAGGAGTGTCCTACTTTGTTCTGGCAAAGTTTGGCAGTCACTTTCTTTTGTATCCTACTTATCCAACTTGGGTAGCATAATATGAGCAGTTGAGGCAAGCAAGTTTCTTGGTCAGTCCCTAACTTTGTGTGGTGGTTTGAAAGAAAATGGCCCCTAAAGGGAGTAGCACTATTAGGAGGTATGGTCTCGTTGGAGGAAGTGTGTCACTGTGGGGGTGGGTTTTCAGGTTTTTTTTCTCTAGCTTCACTCAGCGTGACAGTCAGTCAACTTCCTGCCATCTTCTGGTCAAGAGGTACCAGAACACATCAACCTGCATGCTGCCATGCTCCCTGTCATGACGATAATGGACTGAATCTCTGCCACTACTTCAACTAAGTGTTTTCTTTGTAAGAGTTGCTGTGGTCATGGTGTCTCTTCACAGCCCTATAAAACCCTAACTAAGTCATTTTGCCACAATAAATACAAACTCCATATGAAGGTTTTTCAATACCCATCATCCTTTTGGAAGTAGATTGAAGCTGCCAGGAGCAGACATGTCTCACTGTCATGAAAAGCCTTATGTTATTAAAACATCTTAAATGCCATATTCTGTAGTACTTTGAAGTGTTTGAAGATCATCTATCTCTAAAATATATCTCTGTATGACCTTAAAAACATATAACAAGTTTGATTATTATAGATGACTAACTACTAACCTGCTTTTCTTAATTATTCTAAGTGGCTTATAATAATAGCCTTTAAGAACTTGAACTTTATATTATATTTTTAAATGAGTTGCATAGGTACAATACCTTAAACAAGAGTAGAAACATATATATATATATGTATATACACACATGTATATATGTATTATATAGTATGTTATAACAAAAATAACCTTAATTTTATATCAATATACAAAAATCCATACCAATGTAAAATAGTTGAGATTAATAGTTGCTTTTTAGTTTAAAGTAGATTTAATAATCTACCCTTTTATCCTATCATTCCTATATCCCCTTTATTTGTTTTCAGAAAGAATTCCTTGAATCCAACTTCCCTTGCTTAGAACTATGGGGTTCAATATCAACTGTAATTCTGATCCATTCTACTATAGGTACTTATCTCACCTTTAAAGTCATAATAACCCTTTTGCATTCTAAATTAGCATTTTCAAAAACTAAAGATTCAATTAATATTTGTCTAACATCGAGATTGGATATCATTCTATATACAGCTATTGTCAATCTTTGTAAATAAAATCAGTGAAGGCTTTTCTCAAGCCTTAAATAACTTTAGTAAATAGCTCAGTCCACTTTCCTGATTCTTCAATCCTGTCTATAGCATTCAAAGCTGCTACCCAGCATAGAACCAAGGTATAATCATTAAATACAGCCTGTCTTTGCAAATCAGCCTACTGACCCTCAATAAGAATTTTGTCTTGGGAAATCTCATAATCTCTCACCCTACCTTGTTATTCCATGGCCCTAGCTTCCTCTCTCCACCATGTTCTCCATTGTACCTGAGGACCAGCTTCCAATACTGTTATAACTAAATCCTTCCAGTCTTGTGTAATAATTCTGTTCCTAGTTGACCATGAATTTAACATTTGTTTTATTAAAGGTGAATGCATACCATGTTAAACCACTGCTTCTTTTTTTTTTTGGGGGGGCAGGCCCGGCTCCTCACCTTGGGTAATAAAACCCAAAACTCCGCATAGTAGAAAATCACCAGAGTCAAACCTGATTTCAAAAGAATATACTAAAAGATGGATGTGCTGGCACATGACTTTAGTCCCAGAACTTAGGGAGATTGAGGCAGGCAGATCTCTGAGTTTGAGAACAGCTTCCTCCAACTAGCAAGTTCCAGGACAGCCAAGGCCACATAGAGAGTCTGCCTCACAGAAGAAAGGAAAGAAAGTACTGAGAGAGACAGGCTTGGGTCATATACAAAGATTGTTTCTTTCCTACAAAGACAGAGCCTCACTTTGTAATTCTGGAAATTTCAGTCACATAAGATAATTAGGAGATGGAGACTCCAAGTTTCAGGGAACTGGGTATTTTGTTGTGCTAATTTATAGCCCAAGGTCTCTAACTCCCTGTTTTATAGACTTTTGTTTTGGTTTTTTGAGACATGGTTTCTCTGTATAGCCCTGGCTGTCCTGGAACTCACTCAAGACCATGCTGGCCTTGAACTCACAGAAACTTGCCTGCCTCTGCCTATGGAGTGCTGGAACTAAAGATGTATGCCAC